CTTGGTTGTCTCGTTAAAATACTTCAGCGCCTCCTGCAAAACAAAAGCGACATCAGCTGTTGAGCGAAACAAACCAATTAGTGACTTTTAGAGCGTTCAGCCTGTTCTTCTTTTTTTTTTGTGCATCTATAGGTTGAAGGCCTTCAAGTAAAAGCAGCACCAACATTTATTTTTAAAACTTTGGGCAACTTCAGATGGCAAGGAGGTTTATGAGTGAGGCCAGAAACAAACAGAGCTGGTACACTGCAGCTGCTGCTCTCTTTACAAGAGTGTCTGAGTCTCTAATCACCACCCTTAGATTGTGTTAATGTTCACGCCAAAACCGCTCTACGCTACAGTTTTCCTGCTTGGCTTGATACGGCCAGTGTGAACTTTAGCAGACACTCTCTCGGGCTTGCCTCTGAACAACCCAAAGTGCACGCTGCAAAGTCTCCGCTTCACTCACAGGCCGAGGCTGGAAGTCTTTTTCCTCGAGTCCCCACTGCTCCCTGTAGAAGCGGTAGTACGCTACGTTCTGCTGCATCACCTGGTCTGTACTGTCAAACAGCATGTAACTGGCTGCGCATGGAGCAGCGTTCTTCACGTCGTTTACTGCGGAGGATCACAGAACGACACGTTTCAGACAGTGTTACACAGATTCCCTTGAAAAAAGCCTGAATTCAGAGCGTCAGTCTGTTGTCTTAGTTCTCACATTTATAATAGGAAAACTGGAGGTAGTGATACATGGTGGCTACAAACTTCTCCACAAAGAAGCCTCCCACGCTTGGAGTCAGGTGCTCTTCACATTTCACTTTGCACTTCAGCGCACCAGTGTAGAGATCTGAGGTAAACAGGAGAACACATTGATCGTTATCTCATAAATGAACTCTTGTGCAGTGATTATGATTACATGGCTATCTTCTCACCTGCCAGCGTGGGATAAAAGTCTTTAAACTCGACGATCTCATAGGAGCCCTCGCAGCCTGCCGAGCACATACTGTAGATTTCAAAGTACTGCGTGATGGCCTGCTCCATATTTCTGGCGCTGCTGCTGAAGTCTCCGCTGTTGTAAAGCGTCACACTCTTCAGGAATAGACTCTGCACAACAAGGAGAAGCTTTTTGAGAAGCCTGAACGGCTAAGTGAACGTTTCGTTTAGACGACCGTTGATCTACAAACTTCATACGGCTGCTCCTCGTGGTCGATGAGATATTCGTCGAGGTCGAACAGTGTCTTGTAGTAGTCCATATTCTTGGTCAGATAGGGGTCAGTGGGGTTCTTCTTGAGGAAGGTGTGGGCCGCTGCAATAGCCTTCTCCAGGTTGTTCAGCTGTAGACGACAGGATAATTTATAAAGGGAATAGGACACCGCAGTTTGATTTGACAGAAGACTCATTTCAGGTTTCTAATGTTTTAATTACATACTTGTATTGTGAAAACAGAAGCTCTCATCATTACACCCCCGTTGATGACCAACTCTAACTACTCACAGATGTAGATCAATTCAATTCTTCATGTGTCACTGAGTGGAAAACTATGCAGTACATAAGAAGAGTTGTGTATAAGATGTAAAAACACAAGGAGAGATCTACCTCATGATGATGATAATCACATACATCCATGGTCCAATATCATCAAATTAATATAGGTCAAAATCAAAGCAGGTTTGTGGATGTGGAGATCTTTTGAGAGCTGTAGCTGGCCTTTGATTCACCAGGTCAGTTAGATCAACCTACACTGTGGTGAGTGTCAATAATGTAGCTTCTGAATGTCTTTCCATTCACCTTTAGAGGAACTTACACTAACATGGAGATTACCTGCAGGTCGTTTTACACTTGAATGAAGTCAAATCTGACCTGTGAGCAAAACTGGTCACTCATTCAGAGAGAATAATACGGGGGATTGTTTGAGGGGGAACAACTGAAGAGACGTGGCACATACTCAACTCCTGCTCTGTCGGCAGGAGGGCGCAATAAAGCAGCCGAGATTATTAGACTGCACGATTAATGCCTGAAGATGTCTGCTCAGTGAGTCAAGAGTCGACTTGACAACGGGAACCAACTGCAGACACTTTGGTTCAGTTAGTGCATCCGTTACGCGCAGCTATGGCGATGATAAATCTATAGGCTATTGTAAAAAAATTAATAAAAAAGGTCTACTATAAATCCAAACTATAAATGTCCTGCAGAAACTTCACATCACATTTCCACAGCATCAGCTCGCTGTGCGTTGACAGGCCTTCCAGTTTTCAGTCACGCTTTTTCAGTTCACTGTGTTGTTGTAATTTTATGTCACAATTCAGTGGGGAAGGCCTACTTTTATTTTGCGCCCGTGTATTAGGTGAAACCCTTCAGCACGTCAAGCCCCCCCCCCCCCCCCCCCCCAGGCCTCACCTGGTAGTGCGCGTACTGTATGTACCGATACGGCGTCCTTTTCTCAAAAGTTTCCAGTAAATCCCTGCGTGGGTATGTGATCTTAAACACTGGGAAATCCGCCTTGCACTTTTTGAGGCACGCAGCCCTCAGCAGGATATGGCGCACGACGCGGAGGGTGCCGTCGCCGAACGGACTGTCGTTGTCCCGGCTGACGGAGCTACAGTTGCGACTGCAGAAAGCCTCGCTGTCCCGCAGCAGCCGGTGGAGCCGCAGGCTGAGCTCCAGGAACTTGATGCTCTCTGCCCAGTTCTGCTCCCCATACTGCTCCAGTGCGTAGTTGTACGCAGAGTCCAGTGGCATGATGTCCTTCTGCGGGAAACTTTTGAAGCTGTACTTCTCATACTGAGCCTCCACCTGGACCAGGACCAGGATCGGGAGCAGACACACCAGGACCACGCTTTTCAGGAGCGCCATCGCCTCCACCGCCTCCAGAAGGACAAGGGTCTTGCTTTGAATGGGGGTCTGGAAACTTCCTCTGCTTCACCAGGGATTGCTCATGTCTGTCTGCACGTAGGCGAGCAAAGTTTCGTCCAACCAGAGGCAAAACTCAATAACATCCGGTCAGAACTTTCAAGATAAAAGTGTCACTGATTTTTAAATTTTTTTCAAATTAAATATCATTTTTAATGTAGCCTACGTGGGAGAAATGTATGTTAGTCTTTCTGCATTATAACCATGCCGCCGTACACGCTTCCTTGTTTTTTTTCTTGGCGTGCACACATTTCATTTGACAAAAATGTTTCTGGATCCATGCTGAGCTTTAACATATATTTTTTTCCAAGTAAGAAAAAAAAAAAAAAACATCATCGTTTGTGTATGCATGCATGCAATAGACCAAAGTGCAATACGTGCCAAATGTTTCAGCTTCAGTTTTGTAGATATATTTTAATGATGTATATATTTCGCATTGCTGTCTCTTTTCTGCAGGTCTACAATGTTTTATTATTATTATTATTATTATTATTTTTTTTTTATGAAGACGATATGTAGCCTAAGATAAGAATAATTATTCCTTTGCCATTGCATTCTTGGCCTTGAAGAAAATGTTTCACACTTCCGGTATGAATGCTGGTAACTCCGTCTACTTAACAAAGACGTCAGCAGCTTCTGGACCGAGAGGGTCCAACTTTCTTCTTTATTTTCCATGGTCACAACACCCCACACATCTTAAAACAATTGACATGTGAACAGGGATCTTATTGTTTTGACTACTGAATAATTGAATCAAGAGTGTTCTAATCTCAGATAGTAGATGATACGATACGAATAACTGTTTTGTCTGCACAGCTGTGCAAAAAGCTCTTTTATCTAAGCTTGTTCACATTCCAAGAAAAGTGACAAGCTGAGGCACGAGTGGTGAGCTCCAAATTCTAAATCTAAAATATGAGTCTGAGATATATTTTGAGTGTAACTATTCACAAACCACCCCTCCAGGCTCTTAGATATCTGATTCTGCTGGAATTTAGGACCCAGAGCCCCCTATAATGAGGTAAACAGATGTGTCTGTGTGTGACTTTGGAAAATGTACAATATAGTCAATTTAACGCATGGAGCACAAGCCTGCCATGTTTGTCCATGATAGGAAGGAAAAGTGTTAGTTGCAGATTTTGGGCAGACACTGTATCACTTTCGGCTCATCTCATACGTGAGTGAAATCAGAGGGCTTGCCTCTGAGCCAGGAATTACACGTTTGCAGAATTCCATTAAAAGTGGGAGGGAGCCCAGGGGCCGCCTCCTCCTGCTGTGCTCAGTACATGACCCAAAACATGCATCAAGCAGGACACAACGGAGACGGCAAAGACCGGAAGTGTCGTCAATTTTATAGACAGAATAAAAAAACATTGAGTAAAAGATCAGGTTTTGTTGCAAAACAAAAAAAATATCCTGCATCAAGACGATTCTTCTGATTGCTTGTACTTAATGTGGACTATTCTCAATCTACAACTTGATTACCGTTCATATTGATGGAATATTTAGAGTTCATTTCATTTCAATGTTTCAGGAGTACTGTAATCCCCCTCCCACCTGGAATGTATCAGTTGTTGGCGTATACAAAACAATTCAATAAACTGAATAATTCAAAAGTTTTATATTGGCTGTTATAAAAACATCTTCCATGTCCCTGACTCTAATTTTAGCCTTTCTAGCCTATTTTCCACAGGTAGCAGACCGACCTCCATCACATGTTTATCAACATTTACGCCTGTATTTTATCATTTTAACAAACCTAACGTGAACAAATAAAAAGGAGAACAATTTTAAGAAGCTTTTTCTTTTTCTTAAGTGTTGCTACTTTGATAAATCAACATTTAGTCCAGTAGTAGGCTTTCATATTTATTCTGTAAATTGGTTCTTCAAGCTTCAGTAAATTACACTTTGTAACATAATCAAACCTGAATTATCAATGTTTTTTTTTTATTTTTTATTTTTTATTATTATTATTATTATTCAGGTTAGTATATTTGTGCAAGTTTCTGTTTTCAAAAAGGCTTGGACTTCCTTGGTCTATAATTAATGTGACTTTTATTTTGTAATCGTAAACGGAAGTACATTATCTTGTTTTTGCACATTCTCACACAGCTCTCTGTCCCGGGCGTCTTGCGGGTTCTACTCTCTTCACTTCAGCCGCATCACTCCTCTGGCAGACGAACTCTCTGCGCAGCCAGCTTCCGCAGTTGTAGTCTGTTTTTTTTTTTGTCCCCCAAATGGATCTGTTAGTGTCTTCGGTCTTATTTTTCCTTCATGCAGTCACTGTGGATTGCAGCCCCGGATCTTCTCTGGACGTTGTTGTCGACCGGTACGACATACCGAGAGTGTGTCCTCGAGAAGTGTCAACAGGAGACTTTGTCCGTTATCACTTTAATGGCACCTTCTTTGATGACGGGAAAAAGTTTGACTCAAGGTAAAAACAGCGATACAAACAATTGCATGACAATTACGCCATACCTGTTAATTAAAAGTTGCATATACGGGATGTTAAGATTTTAAGAACGAGCCAAGATAAAATTACAACTCGTGCAAACTGCGAGAAAATAAGGTTAACTGGTGCACAGCAGTAATAATACCTCTTATGGGATCAAAATGTAGGCCTACTGATGCTGGTTGAAATAGTGATGAGTGTCCTTAGGAGCACGTCTCCTTAAAGTTGCATTATGTAGTCCTATGGTGGAAAGCGTGGAATCCTGCAAACACCCTCCTGGTGGAGCTTTCAAAGTGAATTTGTATCTGAGATAAAAAAAAAAACTGCAGACGTGTCCATCTCATGCACTCTGTCTGATTGAATTGATAACTGTAGGCTATTTAAAAACATGTGCTTTTCTATTGTAAGAGTGGTGAATGTTTGATGCCATGTGTTGAAAAGTCATTTGTTTTTTTAAATACTATTTGAATACTAAATGCTATTTAACTGAATACAACCTCTTGTCTGAAGTCATGACCGAGGAAAAGCCTTCATCAGCCAGGTGGGTCTGGGCAGACTCATCACAGGGATGGACCGAGGTCTTCAGGGCATGTGTGTCAATGAACATAGGCGGATCACCATCCCCCCACACCTGGCCTATGGAAGCATCGGAACAGGTTTAAAAACAACATTGTACATGTCACAGCACTCTGTGGATAATATCACAGCACTGTGATGAATTCATTGACTGAGCTGTTCTTCACTCCGTTCTGTGTTTTCGTTCATTCTGGTGGTCAGGTGGTGTAATCCCTCCTGATGCCGTGTTGGTGTATGATGTACTGTTGCTGGACATTTGGAATGAAGAGGACAAGGTCCAGATCCGCAAGCTCAACAAACCTGCAAGCTGCGAGCGCTCCTCTGTGGCATCAGATTTCGTGCGTTACCACTACAACGGCACGTTGCTGTCGGGTGAAGCCTTTGACTCCAGGTGAGGCTGCAGGCAAGGGTGCTGCTGTAGGTGTGACCGGTCATACTTCAACAGTGGTTCTTTTTAACGATCTTTCAATTGTGTTTGATTTAGTTACTCGAGGAATGCGACCTATGACACCTACCTGGGACAGGGTGACCTCATCAAAGGCATGGACGAGGGTCTGTTAGGCATGTGTGTCGGGGAGAGGAGGGTCATCATCGTCCCACCCTTTCTGGCATACGGAGAGAATGGCTATGGTAATGATGGGGACTAGTTTATAAGAACTTTACAAACCAACTATAAGCATTTTAAATCAAATGGTTTGTTTTAATGCATTTACATTAGTAAACCATCATTTATATCCTAATGGACTAGGATTGACTTGAATTCATCCAGTGCAGTATTAGATTATGATCAGTAGAGAACAGAAATAGATGAAGACTGATTTAAATCTGCTGATAGAAGTCAGGTAGCAATTCACATTTGCTGGATGTCACTTTGCATTTGTGCCTGTTTTGCATATTTAAGCAGCAGAATAATTATGTATCACATGTACTTGAAATGATCACAGTCATAAACCCACTTTAAGGAACTATAAGCAACCATTGGTTTCACTTGGCTACAAACTCTAAGAAGACATACATCTTGAAGGTCGTGAGATGAGTCATTTATTGCAGTGAGCTTTCATCTTAATTGCTTTTTTTCATACAGTTACTTTATTGTCGCATGTCGCCTCAGTGTGGAGGAAAGACAACACACTAGGGTGGAGTACATACCTTCTGGATCTAAGACTGAGATACACAGACACACTGCAACTCTCTTTCTCAGGAACTCAGGTCCCTCCTCAGGCCACGCTGGTGTTTGAGGTGCTGATGGTCGATATGTTCAACCCTAAGGATGATCTGATCGTGGAGATGAAGAAGGTGCCTAAAGGCTGCAACCGCAGGACTGTGACTGGAGATTATATCCGCTACCACTACAATGGCACCTTCCAGGACGGCACCGCCTTTGACTCGAGGTAAAAATCCTCTTTTTTTTTTTCCCCCACAGAAAAACAAACAGATGTTTGCAGAATTGAACTCTTGAGTTACACCACCTCTCCTTGCAGCTACCAGCGAAACAGCACCTATAACACGTACGTTGGGATGGGATATGTGATCAAGGGGATGGACAAAGCTCTGCAGGGGCTGTGCATAGGAGAGAGGAGGAGGATTACTATACCGCCTCACATGGCCTACGGGGAAGAAGGAGTTGGTAAATTGGCACGGATAGTAAGACACTTGAAATGGACCAGCTGACCACTAAGTTCCTGCATTGTTCTTTTTTTTTTTTTTTTCTGTCCTGCTGTAGGAGACCTCATTCCTGGCTCTGCTGTGCTTGTCTTTGACATCCACGTCATTGACTTCCACAACCCCAAAGACCCTGTCAAGATCACAGTTACCCATAAGCCTCAGGAATGTAGTGCGACCAGTGAAGCTGACGATTTGATCCAGTACCACTATAACTGCTCCTTGATGGACGACACCCTGCTGTACTCCTCGTGAGCGCCCTCTGCTGTTCACTCTGCTGCACTGCATCCTCCTCCTGCTCCCGGTTCATGCATGTAATCATTGCTGGGCTCCTTGTCTGGCACATTTTAAATTAGCTTTGAATCGCACATATCATAACATTTATCTATCTATGACAGCGACACAGATGTCTGCATGGCTTAAGGGTTCTGATACAGGAAAAAGTGCCTCGTTTATTTTTTGGATGGGTGACATGTTATTTGTGTTTTTCCAGGGACCCGAACTCACCCTCCACCACGACTTTGGGAGCAAATATGGTGATCTCAGGTCTGGAGGAAGGTTTGAGTGGGATGTGTGTAGGCGAGAGGAGGAGAGTGGTAGTTCCACCGCACTGGGGTCATGGTGAAAGTGGAGGTCGGTATTTGGATCTGATTCGATCACCCTCTGTGCAATATTTCTTAGAACCTTATTAAGAATCATGTTTTCTCCTCCATCTTGGTGTCCTCAGCTGGAGGAGTCCCCAGGAGTGCTGTGCTTTTCTTTGAGCTGGAGCTGGTGGAGCTGCAGAAGGGGGTGCCTGAGGGCTTCATGTTTGTGTGGCTGGGTGACGGCCCTGATCCCCTCTTTCCTGCCATGGACCTCAACGGTGATAAAGAGGTCCCTCTAGAGGAGGTGAGCAGACGAACTAGGTCCTGCAAAATGCTTAAAGTTTCTTAAAAAGCAAGACAAACAGTCTGGATATTATTAGTGAAAATGTATTTTAACATACCAAAAATCCTGTTTTCTTTAGTTTTCAGCCTTCATCATGCTCCAAGTTCAGGAAGGCAAGGGTCGTCTTCGGCCCGGGTTCAATAACGATAGCATCATTGAGGACATGTTCAATAACCAGGACTCAAATAAAGATGGGAAGATTGTAGAAGCAGAGCTGGGACGTCAAGAGAAGGAACCTGAGCAAGTGAGACGAGACGAGCTGTAAAGGACAAACTCACTAAGTCAGTGGAGGTGAGAACAAGGAGTGTGTGGCTGTGGTTTTACTGTGGTGTTTGATATCAAAATGAGTTGTCTGTTAAAATAAAGACTTTGAATGGAGCTGAATAACACTGACAGCACAAGGAAACATGTTTGGACAGTCAGTGTGTTGTGAACAGGAAACAGGTGTTAGAACAAAATGTGACAGGAGGGTCACGGCGAAATGTGCTCTGTTGGAAAAAGCATTTCTGACTCAAACATGGACATTAAACTACCTTCAGAAAGTGTCTGGGCTGGGCCTTGCTTTCAAAATGTAACTTAAAAAAAGAAAACAGTGCCTGGGGAAATACAGAAAAACACTGACTTGTTCATTGAATTTGGGAATTGTACGGTTGTAAAATAACTTAAAATCCAATTATACCAACTTGAAAGAATGTTTTGTAACATCAATGGAAACATTTTGTACTTTTATGAAAGATGTGCAGCTGTATATGAGCTTCATTGACTTTTCCCGTGGTCTTAACTTAAATGACTTTTTTATTCATTAAAACATCGAAACATCTGGAACTAGTTTTATTTCAGAAAAGTTGGGACATGTGAAGAGGTGATGAGTCTGGAGGATGACAAAAAGAAATGGCATTACAACATGGCACAATGCTGACACATGATGGATAACATAATGGGGTTAATCCTGCTTTAGAACGTTTTTGGGGACTTGTGTGATGACATGCAGAAAGAAACAAGATTTGAAGGACCAATCCTTCTCATAACCAACATGCTGAGATAACCTAATTTAAAATATCAACAGAACACCGTATGATACTGTGACACGTCTGAGGTAGATTTGAGTTGATACATGTCATTTGAATTCTGCAACCCTTAAAAAAGCTTTGCATTTTTATTTTTGTCGTTAAGTTAAGTCTGTTTCTTAGTACAGTTGTCCTATTCCAACACAAAACCTTGGTGTTATAAAAAACAGTTTCTTTAAAAAAAAAAAAATGTTTGAAAATGTGAGCAATAACAGAAAGACTTGACAGTAAAACACACTTATTTAAATCATTGGATTAAAAATTAACTGTAAAAAAAAAAGCTTTATGTTCGAGGCTGGACATCTGTTTCATTGTAAATGTGGAGAGAAGTGCTGCCATTCATGTTGTGCATTTTTTGTTCCCTTTATCATGACTTCTTCTAAGAACACCAAAACTTTTAGGAAAAAAACCAAAGACATCGTCCGCCCCCAAACAAAATAAAAACACTCATGACCACACAAAAACCTTACATGCTTCACGGGAAATCTGGCCTCCATCACACACAGTATGGTACTAAATCAGTTTCACCATCCAGCCATGAGGGAGGCCGATGGACAAAGATATTAAAGGGTGACATGGTGTAATTGGTAACTTTGAACTGGACTGGTGTATAGATTTGTAAAAATAGAGTATGAAGATAAAGATTAGCCTTCAACTGACACTTCAGAGCGGGGGCCCTCTTCAGCTGACAGCGCTGGAGTGTCAAAAACCAACTGGCCAGTGGTATTCCCAGTTCACTTATTCCCAGTGAGGTAGAGCATTATGGCATTAGGGACTTCCAAAGTCTCATCTTTTACCAAAACAATATCATAGGAGTCCAAGTAAGACTGCTTCCTCTCCTCCACCTGAGAGAGAAACAAAGGGATGGGAAGAAAGATTGATGAGAGTAGAACAGATGTGCAAAGATTGTGATATTTATATGAGGGTAGCAGGTGCTAAATATTGAATTGCAATCATCATGATGAACATAAAAGCGTGTTCTTTTTATTTACCTTGTCATTGAGGAAGCCAATCTTTAGGATGTTTTCCATGTCCTGCACCCCATCAGCCATGGTCAGATCTCCCAGAGAGTCTCCCAATAGCAGTACGTTAGGCCGCGTCCGCAGCTCCTGGAAGTGGCCCGTGTTGAGCAGCGCTCCTTCCCTTTTGTTGTAGATGTGAATCAGCTCTCCCTTAAAAGCCTTCAATACTCCCTATACCAACATATCAGGTTAAAAAAAAACCAACATTATTTCAGTCCCTGGCTTGGGGATCAAGATGAAGTCTGTGGCACAGCTACTAATATTAATAATACATTCATTTGATATAGCGCTTTTCTAAACACTCACAGTTTCATCAAAGTCCATGTAGTTGGAGAACACTTTGACATTGGAGTGGAAGACACCGGCCTGGCGAACAACCTCTTCTAAAATGTCTCCGATCCCCGCAGAGAAGATGAGCAGAGGGATGCTGTGCTCATGCAGGTGGTCAAAGAAGAGTTGGTATCCCTCCCTGTCAAAATCAGATTAAGATAAGATTTAAGATTTTACTTTATTGTAAAAAAATGTCAGTTTTTACACTCTGTAGTCATGAACACACACATAGGCTGAAGTATATATATATACAGACATGCACACAAACAGGATCCTATGAACATGCACTAAGGGAGAGATGTCAGAGTGATGGGCAGTGCTCAGGCACCTCTCCAGCTACCAGACCAACTTCCATGCTTGGTCTGCACCGGGACTTGAACCGGTCCCTACAGACTGAGCTACTGCTGCCCTGTTATGAACTATGTGTTAACACTGGAACATCAGAAAGAGTATCAGATATTCTTGTGGAGCAGGATTTCTGACCTCAGCATGGCATCAGACTCTCGCACCACCATGGCCAGCAGGTCCTTCTTAATCTCCTGCTGAACCAGTAGTTCATGGGCTTTAGTCCACCTGTAAGGTTAAGGTATAACACAAGGCTGTGAAAACAGGATATCTTATGTGTAGAAGAAGCTGTGTCATATAACTCACCACTGCACCATAAGGGGTAGCTTTTCTTCAATTGATCGTGCAGAGTCAATTTCTATTGGGTAGTAAGTGTTGAGCAGCTCCTTCAGCTGACAGACACAGAACAACACTCAGATTAAAAAAATGCAAGCATGTAGAAAACTGTAGCATTTTACCCGATTAGACTTAAAGCTGATATTAAGTTTCGCAATGTTTTGTCAGGACACAGGGATTCAGAAAAGATCACGCTTCTAAATTAAAATATTTCAGAAAACTTGATTTTGAATCATCACCTTCTCCCTGCACTCGTTGGTGATAAGTTTGCTGTTGTCAAGAATATCTGCAAATACAATAAAGGGGACACGATGACACATCCACCCAAACCAAACAATCATATGCAACTCATCTGTCAGTGAACTTACTGTGACAGGTGGGACACCTCTTTCCGTTGTATGCAAATCGTGTCAGGGTCATGTCGAAATCCGAGATCACCTGGATGAAAAACAGAAAAAATAATACATATTCCTCATCCTGTTCATGCTGGGTTTATATTTAAGTGAAGGCATGCACATGCTGCTGCAGATCTTGATGTAGTGTGAGACCTGCACGGTGTTGGAGCCAGCCTTCATCATGGACTCAAGGATCTCCTGGACCCTCTGGGGGTCCTTCATAAGCACGGACGGGTTGGACAACTCTGGAATCTAATATGCGAGCATGATAGTGTAAGAATGAGACAGCATTGCACGTCATATGTTATGCTGACTTGACAAAATCCATCCAATATAAAGGCATTATAAAGTGGATGTTTACGTTAGAAAACAATGTTGGTGTTGAATAGTAATAACACTACTGCTTAGATAGTTTGAGTTCCCTGCGTATTATCACCCTAAAAACAATAATGTGTCCCTTGAGGCATGATAATAATTAGTTTTTGTACAATAATCAATTAAGTTAGATAACGTCGCGAAAGATCACGTTAGCAATCGTTAGCCACACATACAGTGGTTACATACATAACGATGCTAGGTGTGTTTGGGTCAGTCGGTGTGCAAGTTAGTTGTTGTTCGCTCTCTATTAACAATTTAAGATTACCATTTTCCTGAATTAGGCTGCTGGTCGGATGGGTTTATGTTGACAAAAGGCGTACAAACAGTTTTCTTCGTTGACATGTAACGTTACTGTTGCTAGGTTAGCGACCGAGTCATCTGTGTTAGCTCGAGCAGTTCCGCTGCCTTCCCGGTACTGTCGAAAGTGTCGTTTTTTTTTAAACTGCACTGCAATGACAAAACAAAGTGGCAGAGAATACAGTTCGGATATTTTCCAAGTGGCTGGAATGAGCAGCCCACACAAAACAAGACCGAAAACTGCCTAGACCTGGTATGAATAAGTGATGATGTTAAATGTCCTGTATTACATGGTTTACAGCAACCAAATCAATATTTTTGTTCACACGTACGATGCTTTCAGAAACACCTGAAGGCAGCACTGCTACTTCTATAAGCCGATGTGGGACCGGTATGTATTCTTCCCCGGGAAAAGGCGCTGCTAAAAGGTTCCCAGGTTCCTCTCTTCTCCTTAAAATTACTCTACTTGAGAGATCAGAAAATTCAGAAATATTTTTTTAAACAAAGGCCAACCAATTATCTTGAACATGTTTTATTTTTATTTTAAAAACTAAAAAGATAATGGTTTTAAAACCTTTCTTTTTGAATCAGTACAACTGCAATCGGTACAAGTAACCACTGGAGCATGATGTTTAACTTTATTGCTTTATCACAAATACTGAGGTATATCACCAGAGCTGTCTTTTATTAAATGCATATTACATCAAGACTTCACAACATCCTATAGTAAGTAAAGGTCCATAAAGCAAAAAACACACTGTGCACAACCAGCCGTCTTACAAAACAACTTTAATTGCAAGTGATGATGACATTGGCATTTCTTACATCCAATACTAGGACACAATGTAAGACTATCACATGCAAAGCAATTTACATAGCTTATTCCACCTAGTATTTGCAGTGTTTATGATATTGGTCATAAAGTGGAAATGAATATCATTTCGGCGCTCTGTAACCTTTAATCTGTGAAAGACGCTGCAAGGACAGTGGGCACATCTGTATGTCAGTCACAACACATTCATATGACAATCCTTTGCATGTAAGTCTAAGTCTTGTTGAATGGTAAAAGGAGATCACAGAACAACAAAGACGATTTGTAATATATACCCAGACTGAAGTGAAGTGCAATAGTAGCCCAAGATTTTACTAGACATTTAATTAAATCAAATATGATATCATCTTTTATCTCGCTGTCAGCTGGCTAAAACAAAACATTTCCAAAATACAATCACCTTGTCCAATATTAAAAGTGCAGTGGCAAATTAAATCCCGATGTTTTACAAACAATTGGGTGTCAAAAAGTGCAGATATGGAGAAGCTCTACTGAACGCCAATCATACACGCCCCTGCACTCACTTTTTCTATTATTTTT